CACATTGAGATGAAGTCAATCTGATTTTCATTGTGTCCTGGTGTCTGGTGAAACCAAATCCATGTCGCTTTGTGAATATCCTTGTGTTTGCACACACCGCTTCCAATCACCAAATCGTTGAATGCGCAGAAGTCTGCAAACAGTTTGCCGTTCTCATCCATTTCACTAAGTGCTTCTCAACCCATGATGGGTTCTCTTCCTGTGTTGTTCGCTCCCAGTTTGACATTCGTGTCAACCTACCCAAATGGAGTCTTGTCCATTACCGGCTGCAGTTGTGTACAGAACTCCCCCTTCTTCTCTTGATCTGCATTACTTGTGAGTGCATAGGTTGGCATTGTATGATTGTGATTTTCCTTCCTCCTGAGTTGAATCTTGCTGTCGTGATCCTGATCCTGCAGGAGGAGATCGGTTTACACCGCATGAGAGCCTTCGATGCTCTTGGAGACACCATGATAGTCACTCCCTCAGTGTGCTGTGGTTGTCGTCTGGGTGACCGGAGTAGATTATTGATTCCCCAGTTGACAGTCTAGAGAGTCCACTCCCGTTCCATCTGCAGATTCCTAGCACTTCTGTGCCATACCTCCTCATCTCTTTTGCAATCTGGGCAGCCTTGCCAGCTAGGTTCACACATGGTGCGGACATTCCACGTCCCCACATCTACTTTTCTTTTCATGGAGGGGGAGAAGAAACATCGGCCAATTGGCTTCTCGAAGACAGGCTTTTGCCAACCGGCGTCATTTTGTCTCTCCGGTTCCAGCGAGGAATAAGTTTGATCTTGCTATATACTTTTTGTTTTGAAGTTTCTTTAATGAATGGATTGGTTTTACGGGATAGGGTGGCTAGCCGTATGCCCAACCTCCCGTCTTTACCCCAACCTAGGGCCGGCCAGCAACCAGTAAACTAGTTAACCAGGTGAGGTTCTAAAGAAGACATGCTGGGGTAGTGTCGGTGGGAGATCAAACATTTGTATACGACCCATGTCAACAATGGACAGATTACCACGGTGATGAGGAAGTGTGCCAGGGGTAGTGAGGTTTCGTGGGAAGACAGATGTATTAATGGCTCTAGAACATCTACCCCGAATGGTGAAAGTCGCCAACGATCTCAAAAGGCTGCTGTTCATTGTGGCAAAATTGTTAACCATTTCAAACATGGAAGGTAAACGTGTTACACAAACACTGGGGAACATGTGAAAAAAGTCGGGTCTGCCACTCCAAATTGCTAGTTAACCCCGAAGACGTTGCGGTGTGGGATCTTGTACCCTCCATCCAACCACTAGAAACCCAAAGGTCAGCGGAAGTGGCGCCATCTATATGAACTGCAACGAAGCACATCTTGATGTCAGAGAGAAAACGTAGGAAGTTTCATATCGCTGCTGCTCAACAGACGTACATATGATCTAAGATGGACGCAAATAGCGGGAAAGTTGACTTCACTACCGTGCTTAAGATTAACGCACCGACACAGTCACCATTCAGGATAGCGGAACAGCTCACCAATAAAAATGGATCGATGCGCAGTTAAATCCTCTCGTTCGAACTTCAGTCAATGACCATGGCTGTCTGGAAGTGATGGTATATGCTGCCAGCCAGCTTCGTCGTAGCTTCGGAACCAGAAAAGTATCCTAACATCTGAACATCTCAGAGCCCTGGAGGAACTACGGGATAACCTCAATGTTGTAATCTTCAAACGTGACATAGGTCGGGGTGTCGTGAACATGGATGAAATGGAATATAGGTGTTAAATATTGTCTGCCTCTGAGGATGGAACTAATTTAGTGAGGATAACTCTTCAGAAAGCGCGTGAGTGTTACAACCAAAAGTGGTGGTTGATCCAAAGAAATCGCTGGGTACGACCGATATGACCAGATAAAAAGTTGATTTTCCGAAACTAACTGAGTTCTGATTTCCGCGTCTTAGAGGTGTACCCAAAGCGCACAAATCCACAAACCCGTTACGTCCCATGGTGTTAGTGCACAAATCCTCGACGCATCAGCCTGCCCAGTGGCTAGTTGAATCACTAGACTTCATTAAGAAGCGATTCGACAAGCGTTTCTGAAGGGATACATTTGAAGCAATCAAATACCCAGATGATGCCAACAAAAAACTGAATCTGTATTCCTTCGACGTTAACTCATTTGTCAATGACGTAACTTTGGTCAGGACAATTGACACTTTACGTGGTTATATTTCTGTGCATAATTTTCAATACCCATTTCTTTGAATCCCTTAAAAAAGCTACTGCTTTCGTGCATAGATTTTTCATCAAATCCACATTCCGTAGCTAACGTCGCCAGGTTGATGACGCTGCCACAGGGAGTTCTTTCGGCCTCCTAGTGGCCGGCATATTTATGTTACACTCGGAAAACACGGTCTAGAAGCTAGGTAGGTCGGCGGCGTCCTAATTATCTGAAGCAACTCAGATAGATCCTTTTCGGCCTCGAACCGATTAAGAGGACTTACCACGCAGCTAGGGTTCCGTTAATGTCAACGCCAAGTCTGTATATTCTCCCAAACCGCCACAGCAAGTGAAAGCCAATCTCGCAACCCACTGCACCCACCATTTCAAATATACCAGTGGTGAAACATACATAATGAGGATTAATTGATACATGGAAGTAAGGGACAGTATATTACAAAGCGGCTTGAGAAGCGAACGGGGTCAGCTAAACCCACAGGCGTTGGCAGCAGGCGAAACATTGCTGAGACAGGTCACATGATTGACGTGGCTTCTTCGTCTGAACGCATTTACGAAGCATGCTAGGAAGAGATCTTCAAACTTGTTAAGACCTTAGCTGCTAGAAAGCTTAAACCACCTCCGTGTGTTCAGAAAAAATTTCTCATCACATTAAATCACTGGTGGATTCAACTCTGAAGCCAAGTTCGATGAACTCCTGCATTCTTTCCATTGATTTTCATCGTTATTTGGCTTCTAGTTTAGCCTTTCAACTTGACCTCTTGTCACTTGTTCACAAACATCATCATCTGGTGGATCACCGGCAGCGATTCTGGATCTTTTCTTACCCCTTCTTTTTGCGAATGACCTCACGTTGAGACCCATCTCCCCTACCCTACTCTACACTGACGTGGCTGAATTAGGGAGGGCCGTGACATTCGAGGCATAACTAAGTGCACTGAAAGGAATGTGAACCTTTTGAAGAAGGCCAAGAGGAGAGCAACGAAGGGTTTTGTGGGGATATGATTAAAGATTTAAAAGGATAGACTGAATCCAATACCCAATATTGATCAAATATTAATAGTGCGGGAGTAGAAAACTAGTGGTTTTGATCTCTTGCTTCTAGTTCCTAGAGCATGGTTTGGGTTGTTCGGTTCACTCTTGCGCTGGACAAGGAAACTCCCTCTGCTTTCTCGCTTTTAGCTTCGGCGAAGTGGATGTTTTGTGGGTTAGTAAGTTGCAATATTTAGAGTGATTGGAGAGCTACGGGTTCCTGGGAAGGTTAGGGGACTGTCGTCGCTCCTGTCTGCGCAGGTGCCGGAGTGAGAACAGTAGGGTAGTGGTACAGAAAGAAGAAAAAAGAGTAAAAAAAGAAAAGACAGAAAAGGAAAGAAAAAAGTAGGTGGGAGTTGTTCGAAAGGTAAAAGTAGATAGCCTAGGTCCATTTTCTAGAGGGGAATTAGTAGGTGATATGAGTGTATTAAGGAGAGAGATAGTGAGTAGAAGTAGAGGGAAGGTGTGTGGGCTGGTGAGGTTAGTGACTTCTTGAGTGCGTCCGTGGTAGACTATGTAGGGCGACCGTCTTCTGAATGAGTCAACTGAGGGGGCTGTGGTGATATATCGCTGTAGGAAATTCCATAAGGCACATACTGTCAGTGCGGAGAAGCTGAACTTGAGCGCGATATTGGCTCTCTTATAGCCTGTTCTAATTGGGTTTCCTCGCGGTGACCGCTGTGTTGCAGGCGTAGCTAATTTGTTTGGGTGGTTTGCCTGATGGGCGATCTTGCAGGCCATAATAAGGTCATCCCTCTTCTTTCGATGACCCAAAGTGAATTGGTTTATGTGTTTCAGTATTTCGAGACATGCCTTCCTCCTTAGCCATACAACCGATTTTGTTACATTTCTTTGCATTTTTCATGGGGAGTGAAGTCTTTCTTGAGTGTTGGGGGAGCCAACGTATTGAAGACCTCTACGTGCGGCCGTACGTAGTTTTGGAAAACGGTGGGGAAGAGCTCCGGGTTGGGAGCGCCAAGCTGTCAACGTAGAAAGTGCAAGATGGCATTCGCCCTGGTTGCTACATCTCTGTGGTTAGAGCTGGTGTTCAAGGTGTCGGAGAAGTTGAGCCTCAAAACTCAGTGGCGCATTACTTCCACTCATTCAGATGGGATACAAACTAGTTTGATACAACCTAATAACCCCTCACAAAACATGACGGCTGACCCATCACCGAGTCCGTTGCACCGCCGCTATCGTCGCGAACCTTACCAACTTTACACTTCTGCGTAGATATCTCCTCAAGTCACCAACTCCTACTTTTAGTATGACTATCTATATTCCCATGACGTATCCTACAATCTTACTTGCTCCCTCTCTCTCCCCTGACTCTGTATTTCCACGCCATTTTTTAGGACTCCTCTCCATCACTTATATCATGAATCTACCTAGGTTTCTCTCCTTCTGCTCAGCTTCTTTTCACCTTATCGTTTTTCGTTTCATTTTCTTCTCATTTCCTCTCTCTTGGTTTCTCCGAAAATTTTTTAATCCTCTTTCTTCAACCAGTCCGAACAACTGTTTGATGGCATGACACTTCAGGAATCCATCTACACCAGAGTCCTTAGGAAAACCACACAATCACACGATCGCACACAATCAACACCCAACTACCTGTTGGATTAACCAGAGCTACACTAGGCAGGTGGGTGGACTTACTGCACGGGAATCTATCAAAGATCTGGAACCACTCCGTAAGACCTGGAAGCTAGCGCGAGAAAATTAACTGGTTTACACTAGGTAATAAAGAAATATTGGGTATTGGATGCTGGACCACATTTTGTGGTTTTTTCGCGCTAAAGATAACTTGAGATTGTAGTTATCGTTAACTAATATGTGACTGATGATTAATGTCCACTCTTGTGAAAGGCATGCGAAATTAAATATTTTGAAAGTATCCCTTCTTGACGATAAGCATATTTGCTACAAGTTCACAAAAGAGACACTTGTTGAAGATGTTTTTCACGACGTATGCACATCGATCCAGCTGCAGGAACGTGATATCTTTGGAATTGCTATACCTTCTGGTAGTTTATCATATACATTCAAGCTAAGAGTGTGACTTTTTAGATGAGGGGTGGTTGTTCATAGAGCCTAGTGAGCCTTTGCACAAGATAGTAGACACTTACCTCACTCCTACTGTCAGAAAATCCAGGCTGGTAAGTATAATTTTATCTAACTTTTATTGCATTTTCTAATAAATTTCCGAGCGTTCCTAAATTATCCTTATATACAATGGTAAGACTGTGGCTAGACGTCACATTTTCGGTATGTGAATAGATTATGATCAGCTAAGCAAAATTTTGTCATTGGGGAATGTACAACTAATAATGTAATGCATGACAAATGTCGAAAGGTTTAAGTGCGTAGCATATTGTTCATAGATGCCATTTTTAGTTGCGTATCACAAATTATAGAGGTGGGAGTGCAAACTTCATCTACATAGTCATCACCCAATATCTGTTTAACGAATTTGTGTAGACCAGTCGACTTCATCGTGCTTGCTTCTAGATCTTGCAGAGCAGTCCCAGGTCTTTGGCGGATTTCGACGCAGTAGATCCAGCCACTCGTCTACTATACCTTTGGTATACCCAGTAAGTGGTTGGGTGTTGGTTAGTTTACCGGAGACTGTGGTGCAGTTGGGTTCTTCAGATGTCGAGTTGCCAAAAAGTTGTTCAGAATAGTCGTAAGCGAGAGTTAGGGTAGTGAAGTAGTAACTCAGAAAAGCAACTGTGTGTGAGTGAAAGATGAAGAAAAGCAAGATGATGGGATAGTCTACGTACACCCAAGTTAGACAAGAGGGGTGCAAAGACATACAGAACTTAAGTGAGCGATGTTAATTCACAGCGAGCAAGAGGGATGTAACGAAATTAAGTGGTTAGAGTAGACCGAGAACTGGTGTGGAGGTAACAGTGTTGGAATGGTATAACAGCAGTTGGTTTCGTCGGTGTAGTTCTCATTTCAACTAGATGAGAGTAAATCGAGGGTCACTGCGTAACTGAGGTCGTATGCAGGTCTTGTAGAGTTTCACTCAAGAGCTCTGGGGTGAGGGCATCTGGTTTTCCACGCACAAAGTACAGCATAGCGTATACTTTTGAGGTATCTCTTGGGTAATTGGAACTAGTGTCTAGTTTCTCTGTCACCATTAAACCCATGTCTTTCTATGGTGCGGTATGAGGAAGATGTGAACCAAAGAGAGAGTAGAGTACTTTCTGTGGATCGGGAGTGTGGGGAAACTTGAACTGACACTTATACAGGCCTAATAGCGGTTGTTTATTTTTTGCCTACTCCTCAGGTGTTTCAAAGTCGTTCTGTAGTGCGTTCAACTGCGTTTCGCACGTTGTTGCTCTCTATAACTTTACATCGTCAGCGTAAGGAAGGATTGGAGGGCTAACATGCAGCGGGAGGTCATTCACAAACAGTTGGAATAACAACGGACCCAGAGCTGCTCTTTCTGCTACACCGAATGATGACGTTCTTCAAGTTGAATAGACCCTGTTGACCTTCATGCACAACTCCCTACCGTCTAAGTAGTTCTGCAGTCACTATAGTACCTGGCCGCGGATACCCAACCCAGCTATGTTATGTATTAGGATGGTGTGTGAGATCGTGCCAACGGCTTTGGCGAAATACAGAAAAATCACATGAACCGGCACCTTGTGGTCTCAGTATGTTGTCCAATGTTCATCGGCCGTTGGAAGGTTAGAGGTGCAGAAACTACTTTTTCGAAGCCGTGTTGAACGTCACTGAGTGCTGGCTTTATGTATGGGTATTCCCTGATGTCATCTATCATGCTTCCCATAACTTTTGATATTACTGGTAAAAGTGCTATGGGTCGGTAACAATTTGGGTTCTGCCTGTCTCCTCCTTTTGAGATAGGAGAGAGGATGGGGCATTTCCTCCTCCGTGGGTGCGTTTTTTCATCGAGTGTTGAAAAGGCTGCAGGATGGGCCACGTAAGATACTTGTACACTTTCTCAACATAGATGGGTTAATGTTGTCGCACCCTGGAGATTTTCGCACACTTAGCTTTTATAGCTTATCAAGAGCTACAGCACGAGTTATCTCTGCTGCATCGAATAATGTTAGGGGCTGTTCAGGCCGTGGGCATGCGTGCTTGCATGATGGGACGTTGAGGTGTGCGTTAAAGGTGGTGTTTAACATGTTGGTGGTCTCCAGTTCGCAAATTCTTCTCCGTTCGCACCTTCTATGGTGCATGCTTCCTGGCTTTTAGGTTTTCGCTTCTTCATGAATCAGTACAGATTTTTGGAGTTTACCTTAAGCTTCTAGACGAGGATGAACTGGAACGGCCTCCTATATCCTTACACCCTGGGGTTACATCGATTTCATAGAGCTGTATATGCGGCAGGATCATACTTTTCTCTGGAGAGCCTTCATTTATGCCATGCTTTCCTCTTGAATTTCAGAAGGTGCTCAGTGCTACGAGGTTCGCTTTCTAGGTGCTTTTACCACCAAGAGGACATTTTCATAAATCACTGTCTTAATGAGGTCTCTAACTAGTTTCCAGTGTTGGTCAATCGGTTAGGATCGCTAGTCTACTGCCAATGAAGCCATCAACAGGCATTGATTCATTCCTCCATAGATTATCACGCTGTAACGGAGGTGAGGACGAGATCTCTCCCACGATAATTCTTTGCTGATTACCAGATCGAACACTACCATAGCGTAATCACTACTTCCAAGAGGAGTTTGAGTCTGTACGTTTCAACTAATAGATGATCACTAGTCAGCAGGTAATCCAGTTTAGATGGTTTGCCGTCTGGGCCCAGCGGGTATCATCACTAATCTTTTCGTATACCCCAACCATCTGGACGGCGTTTAGAAAGTTACGTTAAAACTCCCGGCTCCGAGTCGTGATGAATTGCTCTAGGCTGAGAGCTTGGGCGTTGAAGTCACCGGCTATTAGGATCTGGTCATATCTGATTGTCGACACTGTGTACATTACTTGGAGTAATTTTTGGTTGTCTTTCATGTTGCTATTACAGGACCTATAGACTCCTCCAACCAGGTCCCTAGCGTATCTGACCGCGAACTGGCACCAGATTTAGCCTGGGAGCTCCGTCGGTACAGTGCCAGTATTTTGTTCACTTTTGAATTAACTATTCACTTAAATTACATCTCCGTCCATCCTTGTGTTCCCTGTTCCTCCTGAACAAAAATATCTCATATATGTTTTCTTCGGTGTCGCTAATGTCCGGCGATAACCATTTTTCTTTCAGGATTATAACTTTTGTAACAGAGTTTGAACAGAGGGGTCGCAGCTCTAACATTTTACTTCGGAGTCCCCTCACGTTTCTATAAAGACACTTGGAAGTGCTTCTCAAAACATTAGATGTCTCTGGGCTAACTAGTAGCACAGGTTTGTACCAAAGGGTCATCTTCAGTAAAACTGGCCCAGTTAGGTTTTCGGCTTAATTGGTACAGTCGGTGCTGGTCAGAGGTTGCCGGCCTGACTCTCAACGTATTGGTTTAGGGTGATGGGTACTTGAGCACAGGGAGTAACTGCTGTTTTACTGTTGTCGCAGTGTTCCAGGTCTGCTTTCACAGTAACGAACATTCCCGCTTATGGTGAACTTGACTTTATACAACGTCTGTAGCAGTGCAGTTAAAACTTCTGGAGATTTGAAGTTGACGGCCATTTTTCTAAGTGAGGCCATGGTTGTCAGGTGCGATGGGCGTGGCAGCCTGCCGACTGCTACTGCTGCAACCCCACTTAGTCCCATCCGTGCTGATAACCACTGACATTGTTGTACGTCGTAGATGTACTTATCTCCTGGGATACTGGTTGTTAGTTCGGGTATTCCATGGATGACCATGGTTATGGGTCTTTGTGAACCATGCGCTTCTCGGTGTCTCTTTCTCGCCGCGCAAGATCGGTCAGATCTAGTTCGAATGCTGAATGACATATTAATAACCAGTGTATGTGAAAGTATGAGGAGTGTTTCAGCCTCCCTTGTTGAGCCTAGAGTCACTCATCGGTGAAGACTTCCTGGGGGTGAGTGGGTACTTTTTTACAGTCGACACAGTTTTGCCTCAAGGGCGCCTACACTTAACATGGCACGGAGGGAGTCCCAATACTGCCTGTCAGGCGTGTCCTTATGCTCCAGAAGGCTGTCACTGCATATAGGAACGTTAAATATAATGACAGAGTTTGACCAGTCAGCGGTGTCTACATTATGGGTGCATTTTCTCGGGTAATTTGAGCTTTCCTCTCCACCCTTACCTATTTTACATGTTGTCCACTAGTGGCCATCGTTGGTGTGGCTCCAGGGCTTGAGTTGGAAGCAGTTTCCCTTGGTGTAGGCAGCTTTTTGTTTGGCTTTGGACCACTCGAGTCTATAACCTTTGGTAGGCTGTTACTGACAGCCTTTGGAAGGCGAATCTGCTCCATCGCAGTGTTTTGGACGGATACCTGCTTCTTAATAGTTACTGTGGGTCTGTCAGCCAGTCTAAGAGAGCCGGAAGCTAGGTGCAGTCTCGGATGGCATTGTGGGCAGATGTACCGAAACCACGTTCATAGATAGTGCGTCATAAAAGTGTAGTACTACTGTTGTACCTCTTTGTCTAATCGGCAGTTCACCCACATGTCACAGCTGTTGTACTCAAAGACTGCATCACTTTTCGTCATAGTGAAAGCACAAGTATGACAGTTGTCGCCATGTTCATGGGGTTTGGCCAAATGTTACTGTCTTATTGTTTGACGCTTCCTCTTGGCGCTTTTCACCGGTAGGTCGGGATAGGTGCTGGATGCAGCAAGGGGGTCTGTTTTTCCTTGACTGAGGACAGTGCCGTGAGGACTGGGTGTTCGGCTAATTTGGGGTGTTGAAAGCCGTGACCTTTTGATTGAGTTTGACCTAGGTGATGGGTTAATATCTGTAAGGCTTTCTTTGTCACGTTTTGACATCTCTTAGCTCCAGCCCTAGTTACTACTGAGAATGAGGTGGTCAGTGTTGTAGTGAAGCTACACTTAAGGCGTTTCGGAGACTGTTAACAAATAAAAATATGATGGGTCAATAAAAAGAGTCATAAATATGTGAAGCAAGTAAACAGTAGCTTATCGACTTAACCTTCGACTGTTTATTACCGTGACTCTGCCGAATTCTAAAAACTACCAACAAGTCCTGGGCGTAGAACTGAAT